TGCGGAAATTAAATGCGTGCGGATATTACTTTGCGCACGTAAGTAGAACAAATAATTATGTACCTACTATGCTCCACACAGCAAAGAGCCACCACGTGACTTTGATATAAATAATTAAGGTTAATTTTCTGTCAGTGTCAAGCTAATTTTAACCTATTTTCTGAAAATAATGCAATAAATGTATTTTTTGTGTTCTAAATTAAGACCTTTATACAGAAAAAATACATATTTTCAGAAAATATGACAAAATTAGCTGAAAATTAACAAACAAAATAAAAACATTTGTAACATTTACATCAAACAATATTTTATCTACAAACATTATTAAACAGACACTTAAATAAACAATAATTAATAAATTTAAAATTAAAGCGATACAAATCTAAGATCAAGTAACTCTTTGTTCTTAGTTACGTGGCAACCAATGTGTACCTATTGTTGTTAGTTACGAAAAGACGCTGTCAATAACTTATACAAAAATTTACGATTTTCGATGGATAATCTGGAAGAAAAGTATCCAAATGTGTAAATAAATGAAGCAGTTAGTAAGCTACCGAGTTGTTTCCAAAAAGTCCAAGGAACAGTATGCGAAGTGGTACTGCAGTAGTAACTCGAATGTTTAGATTAAGATACACAACCACTAGTTTTGAATACTTCTGACAAGGATTCAGCTCTCCGAAAGCTGAATGCTTCCTAGAGGCATTCACGTGCTTAATACCGTCAACAAACATTCATTTATCATAACATTGAATAAAATCTATACTTCCCAGAAGAGTTCAAATCTTCAATTCACTGCACAGTGCTTTGAATACGGCCAATATTTTTTCATTTGCAGTGTATTACCTCTGGCATGATATACGTGTACTTTCCTATTGACATTTTCCTCATCTTTTCTTAAAGCCTCCGCTAAATTACTACAGTTCCGGGATAGTTCTAGTTTCGGAATTATTCAATCCGTTAGAAAATGCATTAATAGCTATTTTCTCATTTATTTGTTGCAGGACGTTTAAGCTATCTTTATTTTCGCCTGCTTGTGTAATAGTAAGATCTACTAATAATTGTTCTACGGATTTGCCAAATTCCTTTATAGGTCTATTGCCTTGTTGAGCTGTATTTAATTTAACAGACAAAACATCCACTGACTTAACTGGCAGAAAATGTTTTATAATGTCACCTACAAGTAACTGATTATCCGCATAATTTGATTTTAATCGAAGTTTCCCGCCTGCTGACAAATAACGTTTTAGTACATAACTAGTTAAAAGAGGTTTACCGGCAGCTTCCAGCATGGAATCATACAATTCGATTGCATCTATAAGTTCGTGTGTAGTAACATCTGTACCGTTAAAAACAGGAAGCAGTGAAGCTGCAGTTTTTAAGTTAAATTTTTCACCCATATTATTAAAATTATCTATATTTTCTATATCTATTTGATTATCCTCAATATTAGAAGTTTTATTTAGTCTATCATTTAGAATTGTTTTTGCTTTATTTATAGAATCATTAATTTCTATTGCGATTTCCGCTACTACAGTAATGTCTTTTTCATTCGAATGTTTACACTGTCTATTTTTTAATTCACAAAATCCTAACTTAAACTGTTCTAGTTTTTCTAACTTACGTACGGTAGCTTCATAGTTTTTCCTTCTATCGGCGTTTCCCTTTATTAAGTTTTTTGTAAACTTTTGTATTTCGTCTAGGGAAGCTAAAAATTCCTTGATTATCGTGGATGTTGTAGACATTAAACTTGTCTACCGCACTACACTTAATTACCCCAACTGATTTTCTACTACACTACACTAAACTAAACTTTCCAATTACACCATCGAAAGACGACTTCTGACAATTTCAGCCCTCATTTTTCCCTCAACATACTTCTTGCACTTTCTTCTAAGGTAATATATTCCAGCTACTAACACAACCCAACATAAGATGACTAACAAAACGTCTCTATGTAGATTTTCGCCGTTGAATGCTGAAACTCCGCCACTATTTCCGGCTTGTGCGATGATAAATTCTTCTTTCGACTGTGTTTTCCCATTTTTACTGAATAGTTCACTTATATTTCTCGCTTTTTATTTAATTACACTTTAAACTGATTTCTACTGGACTGCAGTCGACTGACAGGATCGCCATGTAATGCCCGGACTTAAGGCATTGAGAGGTGTTAAATTAGGGTGGTAATGAAACGCTGGAATGATATATTTTATTACAATTATGATGTGGTCAAATAATGCTTATTGCACAGTTTGCACTTTGCGAATTATTGACCTAAGAATGTTATGTGTCATCATTATGTACTATGAATGAACTATGTCTCTGCACTACAGCTACTTCGGCGTTCATCGCAGTTGAAGACGCGAATTACACTGGGAACTTTGCGAATGGGGGGCTATTTTTCATGCAGCGATTCGCGACGTGAATTCACGCTGCAGTATAGAGCGGGCTTAACGCAGTTTTTAAACCAAACTTTAATTAAACGTAAAATAACCCTTCGTGAGTACACATTTAAATCTTAAAATCTAATAATAAGGAAAAATAATAATGAAAAATAAACTCTAAATAATTCTATTTAACTTATTCTAACCTAAAATTTGTTTTAGCTAATAAACTGAAAATAAGACTGCTTGTACTCAATAAGTACGATCAAATAAACAATAAACACAAAAGCTGTAATGTTTAACTTATGCTTACCTTCAAGAACTGGAATGAGTTTCTTCAGATGTAACTTTTTTAAAATTTCTTTTGCGGCATTATCTGCCATGTTATTTTTATATATCTGTATACTGCCGTGCTTAGCAAAAACTCTTTATTTTCAATATTACTAAAACTGTTTTTGCGGAAGTCTCCCTGCTCTGAGATGATAAGAAAGAATGGCAACTTTACTAATATTAGCCAGATATTTATTGGAATAAAATATAGTTTAGTTCTGGTCACTAAAAATCTCATTCAATATCCTCTCGATATTTTAGTTAACGATACTAACCATTATTTTTTGCAGATACCATTATTACTTCCATATTTTGTTGTAGCAGAATTATTTAAAGGTAATCATTTTAATGTGATGTTTTTAATACAGATAACTAAGATAACTATTACCTCCCAGGTATTACACTGACGTCTGCTGACGTTTATATGTGCCATACTTGGTTAAAATTTTCTATTTGTTGTTTTATGTGAATTGAGATTTTGTATTTTTATTATGGATGAACAATTATACCAGTGGCAATTATACCATTGGCGACGAAGGCGTACAATTGAGATTATTTTTTGTTGAAACGAAGACAGAATTAATTAATGCGCATGCGCATCACGACAAATTCATGCGATTTTCGCAAAATATTGGATCAATTTGTCGAAAGGTCAAAACGCTTTTTCCGCAAAATCAAATGGACCAATGAAAACATTTTTCGTATTTCACATTTCGCATCTGTATGAAACCGCTTTTACTGTAACGCCTTCTATTATCTATACAATTTATCAACAAAAGTGCTGAGCAACCTACACCAGCTGAAGAACATTATAAATTATTCAATTAAAATAGATATGTATTCTTTTAAAGAATATAATAATAAAAAAGCTACACTTTTTTTCTTATATTTTTACTAGAGATGGGAATCGGAAAGTTTCCATTTTAAGGAAATTTTCCGTTTTGGAAAGTTTCCAATTGGGAATTTATTTTCATTTTGAAAGTTTCTTTTAAGCTACCGGAAACATTCCTTGGAAACTTTCCTTGTTTTTTTCATTTAAATGTCAATTGTTTAACCGCTGATTTTCGGTAGGGCCATGATACAAGGCCAATAAACTGAATAAGAATTTAATGTGTGTTGATTTAAAGCAGAAGAAGAAGTATAAATAATGTAAGTTATGTTACATAACCTCAATGAAGCCGGATTTTTCAGCATCACAAAAAACTTATAAACAAAGTTAAAATCATTCTTACATTTTTGTTGTTTATTTATAGACATAGCAAAATGTCAAGAAAAAACCTAGTGTTTGGAATTATTTTTTACTTAACTTTTTAATTTTCAATATTCCTATATTATATATATTAGTATATTAGTTACTTTGTCCCTTTTAATTTTTTTTACAAAATATCTAGGATTTACTAGCAGTGAATTTCTAATAGTAAACATTTTATAATAAATTTTTTATTTTTATTTTGTAGGTTTCAGTATACAATAGAAATATTCCAAAGTAAAAGATACTAAAAATAGTATTGCAGTTACATTCTTATAAACATTTTTTTTCTTAATAAAATTTAACAAAAAGTTAATGTGTTATATATTTTTGCAAATCCCTGGCATAAAAAAAAATATTTTCGCAATAAAAATTTTTTTTTTGAAACTTTCGGAAAATTTCGGGAATTTTCGATGGAAAGTTTCCGGGAATTTTCGTCAAATGGGAATTTTCCCATCTCTAATTTTTACCCTTTTTTCCATTTTCTAAAAGATGCCCCAGGGTTCGAAAATTTATATATATATATATATAATATATTATTATATATATTATATATATATATATATATATATATATATATTTCGGTTATCCGATATATATCATTAATATAGGTATATCCGATATATATCAAGTGATATATATCCCTTCTAATCCCTTTAATTATAAATAGGCACTTGGGTTGTATATATACAACATTCGTTCTTCAAGATTATTTAAAATCTATGGTGGCTTTAAAAACTAAAATATAAATATATGAATCGTATATTATCCCTGGAAACTAATTTGCTTATGAGTGTTTGCTATAATGATCCACCAGAAAAACTTTAAAGGAAAACAAAATCAAACGTTGCATAATTATTATTTTAAACAACTTTGGCTATTACTTTATTTTATTACGTTTTCATTACCTGTTATTATTTAATTTGCCTCCTTTTAAATAAAAAATACTTTAATAAAAGGATGTTTCGTTGAGTTGTCTTAAGGTTAAACTAGAAATATTTATTAAAAAATAAGCGATAATAACAATAGACAGTACCTACCTATTATATTTATCATAAATGAAATGGCAACGTTGGCCAACAGTTTTGCAGCGTCAGTTTTCCTATCAAAAGGGGGTTGAAAGCGGGGTAAACTCTGCTGTAAGCGGGGATATTCTTCCCGCAGAACGTTTGATTGCCTGAGGCAGGGCGTGTCTCCAGGCCCGCCGCCATTGGCTGAAAAGACAGAGCCGTTAGGCGTGGACTCCCGGCTTTTGTTGGGGTGCCTGAGGCACCCTTCAAAGGTAGTTTTTCCCCTCACTACTTACGCCGATTGAATTTGTAAACCATGTAAACCCGTTAGTGTTATGCAATATGTTTTACCAAAACTATGTATGTATACCTACATATATCCATCTATCTATCTATACCCATACACTATTATGAAAACAGGCCACCCTCTTAAAAAGTAATTGTTAAAATTTCTTTTTATGTATTTCTGTATCAGCGTTGATTGAGGAATTACTCAATAGCTTGATTATGCACTTAAATGTCTTTATTATTTACAGCACAATAAACTACCTACCTATAAAGATATATTTTAAATCACAAAACATAGGTAGGTAGGTATATATTTATATTTGTTTATATTAGTTTCAGAAACGTTTGACTTTTAATACAGGTACTTTTTTAAAATTTGATAAGGCGAATAAAAGAAATATGTCCCCACTAAAATAATTGTTCATATTTCAAACGGATGCATAGATTTTTTGCATATAATTTTATCTCTGTAAATCCTGGTGTATCTATTATTATTATTATTATTATTTCCCAAGTTGGCTTTTTCTACTTGGGCATGATCTAACTCAATTGTTTATAACCTGGAATTATTTTGAAACAAAGTTATTTCATATTAATAAAATGAAGAAGTATCAATATGGCATATATGCCAAAAAGATGAAGTATGTATTATTGATACTTCTTCATTTTATTAAAATAGAAAAAATTTTTACAATATGCACAATTTTGTAGAAAATTTACTGGTCTACAAACACTTTATTTGTAAAACCACCCATCGGGAGTAAAAAAAAAATATATATATATACAGTATGTACATATTTGAAACACCCTGTATATACATTATATATATATATATATATATATATATATATATATATATATATATATATATATGTATGTATATAAATAAAAAAAAGTTTACAGTCTCAGGTTAACAGAATTAAAGTGATTTTACATAAAAAATAATATAATATGGCATATGATATTTTTTGTATTTTATTTAAAAATATTTGAAATTTTTTATTAGTGTTATTTTTGATCGCTGATATCTTTGAAACGGTTGACCTGAAGAACTTTGACCTTCAGATGTTTTTTGTAGAGCGTGAAATTGTCTATAACTCCTCTCGCTTGGGTGTTGCGAAAAAAACCATTCCAAAGTTATAAGAATTCAAAATTTAAAAAATAAAAATTCCCGTGTTATTGAAATGGAAAAACAACAAATGAATTGAGGCAAACCTTAATATTAATATTAAGGGCTCAAATATGCGCCAAAATTTTTGTTTTTTAATGTATTATTAATTTTTCAACACCATTAGAAAAAAAAATAATTTAAGTTTTTTTTGAAACACCCTAATATATAGCCTATATACAGGCTGCATGATACAGCAATTTCTTATATAAAATTTACTTTAAAGTTACTTAATTTAAGTATCTAGAACAGTAGGGATAGTTTACCGATCGACCACAATGTTTTCGGTTTTTTTTTTCGCTGCCCTCATGAGTGCACTCACCAATATTGTAAAAGATCGGTAAACTATCCTTACTGTTCTTGATACTTAAATTAATATACAACACAACACCTAAAGTCTTGTACCCCCCCGGATATATTAAAAATAAGTTATATTTGTGTAGATTTAAATTTGGCCTAGATAATTATTTTAAATGCAGAAGGGTGGTTAAAAATTAACAAATGGTTTATTTAAAAAATAAAAGGAATTAAGAAAATAATCGTTATTAAGACAAAACATAAAAATTACTGCTAACTAATAGTCTGTGCGTCCGTCTCTACTTCTTACTAGTGCGTCAACACGCCTGGGCATAAAAATTATCAAGTTATTGATAACCTCTTGAGGTATACGGTTCCACTGTTCCACCGCGGCTGCAGCTAATTCTTCTGCAGTTCCTGGTGGGTTGTTTCGATTGTGAATGGCCCTGGAAACAATCCCATAAGTGCTGAAACTGGCTGGCCATCCTAATGTACCACGTGGTAATTTCTTTAGCTTAAAGTGCCTCAAGAACCCTTCTGGTTCGGTGTGGCTTGGCATTATCATCCATAAAGATGAAGTTTAACCCTATTTGATTTTGTAACTGATAATTATCAGTGATAAACAATCGGTCTAATAAAGTTTTCGATATAAATTTGGCTTGTCAAATTTTGCTGAAGGTATGCGTATTAATGGAGTACGACGGTTGTACATTATGTTCCCCAAAACATTATTCTTCCCCCTTAATAGGGAAGGACTTCACGGGGAAAGTTAAGTCGCTGCTGACGTCCTGGTTTCCTTCAAACCCGCGATTGTCATCACTGACCAGGCCAAATCTTGTTTCGTCAGTAAAGAGGACCCATCGCCATTGATCCAAAAGCCAATCCATATGGTTTCTTGCCCACTGGAAGCGGGCAACACTATGTCGAGGCAATAGAAGAGGTACTCTCAAACATCTCCTGGCTCGTAAATTTGCACTATGCAGTCTTCTGCGAATTTTAGAGGTCGAAATTATCCGATGAATCGTAAATTTAAAATGTGCTCTGATGGCTGGGGACGTGACATTTCGGTTTCGGCGAGTAAATTAAATCCTCCATTTCATTAGACATGCGAGGACGCCCCCTACGGGGCCTTCCATCCAGCTTCATAAAGAGCAATCAATCTCTGTTAAACGTCCTGGCATTTTAAAGCAAGAAAACACGAAATGAGACTTCATGAACATGCGCGCAAACTGAGCCGAACTGAATTTCTTTTAAACATCGATAAAAACACTTTTTTATGTTTGAATGTTTATGGTCGTTTTTATTCTAAAAATAAATAAACAGTTGTGTGCGATACGCAAAAAGACTTTTAGTGTTGTGTACTACAAATGGATGGTTTTTCGAAAAATATATTATTATAAAACATTAAATAAATTTTTTTTAGAGTATTTGTATTTTGATCACGTTTTTTGTCACAAACTTTTAACAATGTTTTAAATTCAGTATTATGGATATTTTTGTAATTATATTTCTTAATTTCGCGTTATTTTCAAACGCGTGTGACATTACTTTACTTTACATTACTTTTTGGACCAATCAAATTTCAGAAAACGTTTTTTTTCAGTTTTGCAGCAATAAAACTACTATTTAGGTGAAAAAACCACTAGTTTATCCCTGCTTTAAATAGCCCAAAGAGACCCTGTTCAAACCGATAGATATTTGTATCGGAATGTATGGTGTTTCTATAGGGTGTATCGGTATGTATATGACCCATAGTTGGGATTTATGGTTGTTCTATAGGGATATCCACCCTTGACTTTTTTGCTATTGGTTTCAATGGGGAAAATACACATAAATCTAGAAATTAGTTTTTCCCCCATAGGACCCCATAGGTTTTAATAAAATTTTGTTGTTTGGTGTGCCTATAGGTAATTTCTTATAAATTTCCTATCGGGCCGTATCCGGAAAAAAACACGGACAAATGCACATATTGAATCCGGTAGCGCCCGATAGATTATTTTATATAGGTCTTTATGGGGTATTTTAACTAGTACAACTAGTACAACTAGTTGTATAGCAACTAATTGGTTGCTGTGCGAAAAATAATGTCAAAAAAATGTCAAAAAATATGCGTTTTGGTCAAAAAATTGAATCAGCAGTTATTTCTAATTAAAAAAAAATATTCGTGAAATAGTCTTGCCGAACCACTCGTGATAAAATTTTTCCCAAAATTTTTTTTGATTGAAGTGGCATTAATTTTTAAGCCACGAGTTGTTTTAAATTAATGACACGAGCGAAATTTTATATAAAAATCAAACATTTTGTCCGTAAAGTTTTACCACTAGTGGTATTATATACGATAAAAAACTATGAGTGATTCTGAGAGCGAAGAAAATACACACAATTAACAATCGAGGGAAATATGAAGTTTCTACCAAATAAGTAAAAATATTGCTTTTAAAAATCAAATTTCAAAAATTCATATTTCATGTGCATATTTTGTGAAATGCAAAATTGAAGTAATTTTTAAAACAAATAACTAAAGAAAATGCCGAATTTTTAGACAAATTAGGAATACCTACTTTCCGGTCATATAACAGGTCCTAATCGGAATAGGGTATTCCTATAGAAACCAGTAAACACAACCTACCGATTTATAAATAGTATAAAAAGTATATTGCAGATCAAAGTTTTAAATTATTTAAAAAAATATTTTTTTCATGAATTTTATTTTTTACTAACAAATAGATACCTAGATATAGCAATTCCCAATGCATATTGAACAAATTTGACCCCTTCACGGCTTACAATATTTTCATAAATTTAATAATTTAAATGATATCATTATTTTATGCTGTAACAATCGTAATTGTTAAAAATAAAAGAAATAAGAAATTGCATGTAATTAATAAATAATAAAATTATATATTGTAACTAATTACATTTAGCGGCTAAACTTTCAAGTTACCTATAGTTTTAATGTAATAGAACTATAGTTACCTATGTATATGTTAACGTCAATGTTTGCTTTTATATTATGGGTCTAACTTAAAAAAATAAAACTCGTACTGTTTATGTACATGCCAGTGTAAATTAATCATAAGGTATAATAAAAATGCCATTGTTATAGCCAAGTGCAGCTGCGACTCTTTTTTGTAGATATGAAAAACGTAATCCATAGTATTCTAATTTTTGTCAAACGCCTTTGTGATGATCAAAATGTGATCCAAGAGCATCCAATAGTAATTTAAGGCTCTAGAATATGGCTCTTGATGTTGGTTTATTCCGTCTGAATCCATTTTGTTCTGGTTCTGTTCAAGGAAAGAAATGATTCTTTGGTGAATTATTTTTTCGAAAATGTCCCGTTTGATAAGAGTGGCCTATAATTGTCAAAGTTTGTCTTGTCTCCTTTTTTTTAATTTGCACTTCCGCCGTTTTAAGTATATCAGGAAAAAATCCTGTGCTTAACTTAACGCTATTTTAAGTTAGTTAAAGGTTAAAAAATATTTCCGAGGCTGCGTAAGCTGATGTCATTTAATGTTGTTATGGGATTGTTTGAATTTAAATTTTCTGATAAAGATTGCTTAATATTATTATTTACTTTTGTGTAATTTTTTATAACATTCCACATGGCTTTTCCTTTATTTAAATAAGTTTTTATGTTTTTTTTTATCAGAAATATTAATGACTTTTTAAGAGTTTTACAGTAGGTACTTCTTGTAAAATTCTATACTTATTTCACCTTTCATTTTTTGCAAATATAGTTTTCTTTTATTCTTTGTAGATGTTATAATTAAATTAGTAATCCATTTTTACGACCTTCTTTTACAAGTTTTACAGGAAATATTTTATTTAATTTTACAGTTATAATTTGATTAATTATATTATTGCGGTATTTGCATTATTACAATTATATACTTGTGACCAGTCTTCAAATCTAATTTCTTCCTTAAAGTAAAATAATTTTCTTGTGGTGAAAAGCCTTTTGTATTAATTTTTCTTTTTTTTCTTTTTAGATAAGTACTTCAAAGTTCAGCAGCTGAGCATGATGATAAGAAAGCGCTGATACAATCACCTCTCCATGGAAAAAAAATCTAGATTAATAAAAATATTATCCATTAATGTAGAAGTACCTTCATATTTCCTTGTGGCTGTAAATATGGTTTGGTTAAATTTGTATGATTCTAATAAATAAATAAGTATTTTTGTCACTATCTAATAAATTTATGTTAAAATCTCTACAGATTGCAATTATGTATTTATTAAACTGTTTTTTTAATTTTTTGAGAAGTTTGTCTAAATGTTCTATAAATAAATCTTTTGAACCAGAGCATGGTCTATTTATGCAAATTACTGTGGTTTTTTTAGTTTTACTAAATACACATGAGCATTCAGTGATACCTTTCAAACTTATTTGTTGAAGATTTGAAACCTCAAGGTAATCAGTATTATTTTTAACATATATATTAGATCCTCCACGAGTTTGAATAACCCTACAAAAACTGGAGATTATTTTTTTCCAGTATTCAGTTAAGCAAAATATATCTATATATTTAAACTAGTTAATGTAACGTTTATTTCAAGTATTTTACTTTTTAAATTTTGTATGTTTTGATGTATTAAACAAATGTCTCTTTTGTGGTTTTATTTTCATTGTTTATGCGCCTGTTGGTTCCTGTTCTGTTTGAAAATTTGTCTTCATGGTACCTTTGTTATGCTCTTTTGGAAAGACCTGCTACCTAACCTATAGGTCATAATCAGCCCCTACTTTAAAACATTTTGTATAAGTTCTATTCACTTGGACCTCTTCTACAATAAATTTCCTTTTTCTCAGGTTCGGTTTATCCGTTAAAAATTCAATAATGTCACTTTTTGAGACATCCTTATTTAATCTTGATATTATGAGCCAGATCTTTTTTAGTTTACCTTGAAATTTCTTATCCAGATTATTTATGCCATAATTTATCTTCTTTTTTCAGTTGTCTTATTTTTTAGTAGAATGTCGTTGTTTATATTAATCAATTGACTTGTTTTTAATGCATGCGCATTGGCTAGTTCTTTAAAGGAAGTTTTGGTGATCGTACTGTATGAATTTACTTTATTGGTTTTGTTGGTTTGTGTTTTTGTAAAATTTTCCTTTTTATTGTTGTCTTCTTTCTGGTGCGATTGAGTTAAGATTTCCTTATTACTTTTTTGATATTTGATTTTTGTATTTCATGACTTTTACCAAGCTTTTCTTCCTGGTATGTTATTATTTTAAAGCACTTAAAATCTTACCATTGCCATGTATATACATACAACAGATTCTTTTATACACACACAAAAATATTAATAAATTCAAATCCCTAAATGAACAGCACACCTACAATACTAGAAACTGTGATATTTTAGAAATTCCTAGGCATAACTTAACTAAATTTAAGAAATGTCCAAATTATCAATGTGTTTACTTATATAACAAACTACCAAAGATGTTTAAAAACCTAGCTTTAAGTAAATTTAAGCATACCATAAAAGCCTTGCAACATAAACACTGTTTTTACAGTGTAGAAGAATATATTCATTGTACTGATTTAAATTTTTAATATGTATTGTAGTTTTTAGTTTTTACTTTTAATCCATACTGTATTGTAGTTTTTACTTTTAGTCCATACTTGGTTATTTTTATCTGTAATTTTTACTTTACTTGTGTAATTTCTGACCTGTCCTATGTCCTTTAGATGTGATAAATTGTGGATTAATAAATTATTATTATTATTATTATTATTATTTTAGTTTTATCATTTATAATAATGTTTTTGTCTGAAATTTGTTCTTTTAACATGGATATTTTTTTTCTAGATATTCTAATATTTAATTTTGGTTCATTTACATCTTTGTTGTATTGTGTTGTTTTGGCAATGCATTCTCTGGACCGAAAAGCATCGTTTGCTTTTTAAGTAATTTTACCGGGCGATGATGTCTCACCAAAACCTTTAAGTTCTCGAATTATTGACTCTAGCGTTTGCCTCGAAAATAATGGATTCCAAAGTTACTAAATAATAATTTTCTAGAATTGGTCTATTTAATTATCTTCAATAATATTAAATCTACATTTTCGGTCCTGAATTCTTAATCTAACAAGAAATTTATCAAACTTTTCATTAGATTCTTGTTTAATGTTATGAAACATAAACCGTTCATACAACTTACTTTGTTTTGGTTAAAAGAACTCATCTTGTTTTTACTGCGATGGTAAACACGTCAACTCCTTCCTGATCCTTAACTAATACTACAAAATAGATTTCTTCCAAGGCCAATCCTCCTGGGTGAAGAAGCGCGGCTCGTTTCTTTTTTGGATCTTCCATGCTTGAAGCTTTGAAATATTTTAAAACCTCTTCTCCACTTGTCCCATCTCAAACCTACTCAGCTAGGATCGCCGTTGCAGTCGATTATTTCCGTTCATCTTTATTTTCTACCTAAATATAAACATGTTTTCGTAAGACCTTTAAATTGTACAGGGTGGTCCACGTAATATACCTACTTATCTTAGAAACTACTGGAGTAAAATTCTCGTGAAAATTAGCGAACAATCGTAATTATCGAATTAAACTAATAGTATATTTACCTTTTATTTGTTTTATAGTATTTCTTTAATAATTAAATTAAAGATTAATTTTTTCCGAATACACTCGTGCCTATTTTAATCCTGAGGGTATTCCCAAAGACAATAACAATAAGGTAGAAAATTAATCTTGTGCATTTTTTAATTACCTTAGTTATATTTTCGTAAGTAATATCATAAGGGCATCTAATTTTTCCGAAAAAACACGTTGCTAAGTAATATTTTAACAAGAAGCATGAGTGCTGGTGGCAACAAAAATCCGAGTCGAAGAGGAGGATTTTTGCACCTGCACGAATGCATTTTGTTAAAAAATATTACTTAGCATTGTGTTTTTTCGATTTTTTTCACAGGAAAAATTAGATTCCGGAATGGTATTTGACAAGACTATTTCATGAGTAACAGTTAACAATTAAAATATAAATTGCAATTTTTGCTGACAACGCTGTCAAGTTTTGCCGCGGGTAAACTCTAAAAAACTGCTGACAGGTGCTGTCACACAGTTTTTTCAACTAGAAACCATTTGTAATTCAAAATTGCGCGTTTGTGATTGGTGGAAATTAAGACGAGGGAAATAATCATTATTAAAATAATAATTACCATACGCACAAAGCTACTAATTGCGAAAAATGCGAATATTTTTTTCTGCTGAGTTTAGGTATAGTACATTAACATTTTCCTAATTAATATATTTACAAAGTATACCTAAAATAGTGTGTACAATCTAAAAATGCAAAAAATACAGGGTGTTCCAAAGAAAATAAGAAAGTTGGTATCGTCCCACGGAAACCCGAACTTCGTGAATATTTCTCCCTTACAAATTTTTTGTGACTCCTGTAGTTTCTGAGATAAGTATATGGGTCACCTTACGTGGACCACCCTGTACATTATTTTTAACCCAGAAATATTCTCTTTTCAAGCTTCTAAGCCGCCTTTTTTAAGTTCGAGTGCAGGTTTCTAAACCCCAAACTTTTATTCATTTTTTTTTTGCCAGCTTCCCTGCCGCCTCCTTTTTTAATGTACTCTCTTGTTTGCAGGTTTCTTAACCTCAAACTTATATTCTATTTTCAAGCTTTTAAGCCCCAAATTGTTTTTTCTTTATTTGTAGGTTTCTTAACCCTCAAATATCTTATTTGGAAACTTATATAAAAAACTAAATCTGTTTTGTATTTTATCGGTAGAAATATCACCAAGTAAGTCTATCATATCCTCGCCGCCAATTTGTACTGTCAGTATTATTTAATACACAACGTATTATACCGCTGACTGCCATATAGGTACTTAATAAATAATAATAATTTTTACTTGATGTCTCATCCCGTCAGTTACATAATAGGTAAATGGATGATTTATTATTTAACAAATCACATCCATTGCAAGTATCTTAAAATATGTGACCCATTAATGACTGCAAAATAAGGGGGTGTCTTCATCTTAAATGCGATACACTGTATATATATATATATATATACATATATGAGTACATTAGAGTTGTATTTACAGGATAAGTTATTTTTAGAAAAACACGAAAAACCGCTCATAAGGTCATTTTTGGGAAAAAAAGCAAAAATTATATAGACATGCTTTTGCATCATTTCTTATTCAAAAAAGTAAAAAAATATGTCTACAGCAAATACCGAGTTATGCATCCGACAGGAAGAAATAAATACCCAGTTTTGCATCTGCGTTAATTTTATAAATGTATTTTATACTACAAATATTAACTTATGCATCTGGTTTACTTAGGTATGCTGTGAGCAGTGTAGTTATTAACATAAATAGGATAAAATATATATTTTTTAAAAATTTGCAAAAACCGAGTTTTGCATCTAATCTACTCATATATATAATTATAATTTTTAATACTTATTTAAAAATTGTTTGTGGATGCGCATACATAATATAAAAACCACACACAAAATAAAAAATCGATGGAGAAGCTTTTGACGCTTGGGGCAATACAGATTTCAATCTAAATCTCTGATAATAACATGCGTCACAGGGCTACACTAGTGGGGTGCGTTCTCAAGGGTGCTCGAAAAGCTAGTCGCAATGACACGCTCGGTGTAGCACATCACCACTGTGACACAAACACGATGTTTCTTTGCTCTTCTATATGCTTCCCTGCCTTTAAAGTGGACTCTAAACATTACTAAATGATTATTAAATAAAAGCCGTTTCGAACTTGTAATGTACAATTCAGCCTGGATTTATATCGGTGTGTTTTTATCGTATTTTTGGTATATCTGAAATCATTTGGTTCAGTCTTAAGTTTTTTAAGATAATTGTTATTTTTTGTTCTTGCTGCATAAAGCTACTACCTATTTGAGTTGTTTTTTTATAATAAGTTTACATACAAAAATATTTTGCATAGTTTTGTAGCGGCATTATTAACACTACACAGGCGCGCAAATATAATAAACATAGGAAAAACTATAAAATTTTACGATAATACTAAATATATATATATATATATATATATATATATATATATATAATACTAAAATACCTATTATAAAATATATAGTATATAATACTAAAATTGTGCTACAATCAAAAGCGTTTTCAGCCTATTGGTCTGGGAGGTAAAGATTATAAATAGAGAAATTGCATATGGTTACAGGTTATGTGAATGAAATTGTGAATGACAATGACAAAAATATTAAAAAATTATAAACATTAAATAAGTGAACGTGAGTGTATTACTAAAATTTAAAAAAGTAGTATTTAGAAACATTAATTTAAGGACAAAGACTATAGTGAAGGACCTAATTAGTATAGGACCTAACCTTAAAATGGGCACCTGCTCAAAATGTGAGAAAACCTGGACCTCTAAAGAACTTTCTAATAGTGATGATTGCAGATCGGTCCATTGTTTATCATGCAGTGGACTTACTGCAACAGAATGGAGTCAAAAAATTTGTAAGGGAGAAATATTCACGAAGTAAAAAATAAAGATAAACGGACTTGCAGCAATCGAAATAATCGATTGCAACGGCGATCCTAGCTTAGTAGGTTTGAGATGGGACAAGTGGAGAAGAGGTTTTAAAATATTTCAAGGCTTTAAGCATGGGAGATCCAAAAAAGAAACGAGCCGTGCTTCTTCACTCAGGAGGATTGACCTTGCAAGAAATCTATTATATAGTATTAGTTAAGGATCAGGCAGGAGTTGACGTGTTTACCATCGCAGTAAAAACAAGATGAGTTCTTTCAACCAAAACAAGGTAAGTTGTATGAATGGTATATGTTTCATAACATTAAACAAGAATCGAATTTAAGTTTGATAAACTTTTTGTTAGATTAAGAATTCAGGACCGAAAATGTTGATTTAATAATATTGATGATAATTTAATAGACCAAATTGTAGAAAATTATTATTTAGTTAAACTTAGAAAAAAACTAGCTTATGGGGATTCCGTAACTTTGGTACCTATTATTTTCGAGGCAAACGCTTTAGAGTCAATAAATCGAGGAGGTTTTGAAGAGGCATCATCGCCCGGTGAAATTATTAACGATAGTTTTAAGCCGTCAACTAGTATACAGCGAACCCGTTTTTACTTATACGGAAGATGTGGTGGGCCATACCCAGCCCTTGAAAAAAAAGTGCATAAAATGCGGAAAGATTGGACATTATAAAAACAATGTCGCGATCAAGTTAATCCTGGAATGCAGAGGGGGTTTAAAGGTATTGAAGTAGGCCAACAGAAAAAACAGAAACATTTTATGCCATAAAAACTCAAAATCTAATAGAAAGAAATACTGCTATAAAACTGGGAGTCTTAAAAATAGGTTTACACATAAATAAAATTGAGTCATTTCCAAAATTTAAAAACATTTTAATTTACGTCCCTATGGATGAATTTGCATCTCCTGTTTCACAGCCATACCGCAGGATTCCAATCCCGTTAAAAGCTAAAGTGAAATCGAAAATACAAGAAGGAAGATATCATAGAACCCGTAAAGGAACCATCAAAGTGGGTATCTCCAATGGTGCCCATTTTAAAACAAATGGAGATATCGACATGCAAAGAGAAAATAAAGCTATTATTATGGAAAATTTCCCACTTTCCACTATGGATATTTTACTTCCGCAATTTAAGGATGCTAACATTTTCTCGAGACTAGACATAAAAAAATGCATTTTATCAGTTGGACCTAGCACGTGATACTCGCCACATAAGAACATTTATAACCAGCAAAGGGTTATACCGATATAATAGATTAATGATTGGAATAACATGCGCACAAGAACTTTTTTTAAAAACCCGGAAAAAGGCGATGACTAAGGACCCTGAAAATTTTAAAGAAAAATAACGTACTTCTAAATAAAAGTAAATGTCAATTTAAGCTGACCTTGACAAAAAATGGCCTCTTAAATCTTATGTGTCAGGCATATTATCCTTTAGAAAACCCAATACTATTGAAGAAATACAAAGTTTTTAATTAATAAATTACGTTGGAAATGGATACCAAATTTGGCAACATTATTTGGCAACGTTACCCATACAAGCTTCTCTGGAGAAGTATTTGAGTTTTCAATAAAATGATGCTTTCCACCCATTGAAAAAAATGATCAATGATAACAGACTGCAAATTATTGCTTTTGGAAACAAAAGTTTGACCCAATGCGAAAATAGGTATTGTCAAACAAATAAAGAAGCACTTGCACTAGTCTGGGCCGTGGAACAAAGTTTATTTGTATGGGAAAGAATCTTTTGATTTAGAAACAGAACACAAACCACTTGA